TTCTTAAATAATGGTTAACAGTCATAGGAACTTACAGAGGTATTGATCTGATGAATACTATTCCACTGAACAGTGTTTGTAATGAGTGTTCGGACTATGGATGATATCAGTCAACTGATATCAAATGTTAAAACGTATGTATATGTTTACTTATATCGATAGGTTATTTGAGGTTTATATCGAGGAAATCATTTTTTATTTCTGAAACTGGAATGCTTCATTTAACTCCCTACAGTTAGTACTTTACTTATTTACATTATATTAATACCTTCATTTATGTCAAATAGATCACTGATAACTTTTGTTACATTTTACCACAATTTCCATTTCTCCATCTTACGAAAACTTGGAAGCACTACACGGTCTTTTCGTCCTGCTAAAATGTCTCATACTTGGATGAAACGGCCGTCCAGTGTTTTCCATTTTCTAGGGTGCTCTAAATTAAACCAACTCATGAATTCAACCATTAAATTATTATTATTACTATTTTGAACAAGGAAAGTGAATTGAATGAATTTTCAGTTAGAAGAATGGTTCATAAATATAAGGGTTAATTAAAAACCTCAAGTATTTTTAAGTCCTTTAGCATGTACAAGTTACTTTCCAAAATACGTCACTGTACTATCGTGCTTCTTTTTTTCAGTGAGTTTACATTATTGTGGAATCACTTCATCTAAATACGTTGAATATTATTTTAGGTAAACAGTAATAATTTGATATATATCAACACTATTGCAGATTATTTGATTTAAACAATCCTACGTTGTAGCTGACTGACATTTTACTTATTTGTCAATATCCATTCACCTTGATCTTAGATGAAACCAACTCTTACTGTTGAACCGGGTTTCACTGTTGAACATGATTGCGAACATTGGGGGAATCATATATGGAAATATTCGGTAACTCAGTGGAGAATTATAGAAGTTGTTCAACGTATAGCAATTCTACAAAAATATAGATCACTGTACGGAAAGAATTTACCTACCAAATTGATTTGTAAATTAATTGGATTTTTTAAAGATTGTTTGATTTTACAATTTACTTACTTGTAAATATCCATTCTTCTAATGTTAGATGAAACCAACATTAACACCTAAAGAAGATTTCTGTGTTAAACGTGACTGTGAACGTTTAATGAATGCTCTGGATAGATTAAAGATCAGAGAAAGAGAAACGGTTGAAGTAATGGGTCGTCGATCTGTTGTTCAACGTATAGCGATTCTAAAAAAATTTAAATCTCTGTATAAGGACAATTTATTCGCCATATTTAATTCTATATTAACCGGATGTTTAAAAGATTGTTTGATTGCGTTGTGCTATACACCAGCAGAATTTGATGCAATAGAACTTCATAGAGCAATGAGAGGAACTGATACTGATGAAGATACAATAATTGAAATTCTTTGTACAAGAACAAACGAACAAATCAAAAGAATTAAGATTGTTTATCCAAAATGTAAGTTGTTAGTTAATAAAATCATGAATTATTTATAGTGAAGATTGGTCATCATAAATTTGGTTAAACTGAAGAATCATTGAGAATACAAGGAATAACATAAATCTAGTTTTTACTATTTTACAATACATTGGTAGTTTGCATAAACAAACCTTCAAGAAACCAGGGATTCTAGGTCTATTAGCCATAGCTATCAACTTTAAGCTAATGGGTTAGAATCCAGTTGTCCACAGTTCTAAATAAAAGCTCTGTTTATATTTTATATTTCAGGGTTACATTAATTGAATAAACAATAATCTTTATCTAAATTAAGGATTATAATCAAATGAAAATATTTCACTTCGATAATGTACCTTTAATGTTATCCATCTAACCAAATGGGTCTATGGTAGCCATTTCAATATATTTCATTTTACCAAGGAGAAATACCCTGACATCAACACTTGAAAAATTACCAACTGCTACTATTGTGAAGCAAACTTATTCCTTACGCAACTCCATGAGTTGACTTGGAAAGTAATAATGATGTACGCAATTGGAATAGAAGATGTAAATTTCATTTTATTTCGAACATGTCAAGTAGATATACATATATCTCATTTTTCATGTTCACACTGTGATTATAGTTCAAAACTTGTTTCAATGTGAAAACAAACAGTGGAATTCAGGAATGTTCACCTAATGAGTCTCATGTAGGAAGAAGGGAACCGCGTGGACTACACTGTAGTCACAATTCATATTTGATAAGAAAGAAAGAATGAATGAATGACTATTTGAAAGATTCATTCAGACAGATTCAATAGATTGATCAATTATAAATCTCATTATGAACAATCAAAATTACAATCCCTTGAGAATACTATAATCTGGAAATACTAACTGTTTCTAAAGTTGATATTAAAATCCTTAATATTCATGGAAAACCAAGTTCTTTCTCAGAGAAATTAAATGTTACAAAGGTTGAAAATTCAATTTGTCTACCCATTATCAGAAGGGGGTGTTCTAGATATTATAGTAATTTTCATAGTTGAGATCATGAATCAACTGAAGGTGGACCACCATGGAAAACTTAGAAGCACTAGGTGACCGTTTTCTCCTAATGTGGGATCCTCGGCAGTGCGCATCCTCGATCCCGCCCCGCAGATTTCGAACCCAGAACCTATCAACGTAGCTTCAATTGACTCATGATCTCGACTATTGAAAATACTATAATATCCACAAAAATCCCTTCTGATATTAATCAAAATATGCTCACTAGTGATTGGCTTCAAGAGGTATTTCCTGGAGTTCTAGTGAGAAGCAGTTACCAGAGGAGTTCAACCGGGTTTGTTGTGAGATAGTAACTGACCGAAGACAATGGTGGATGTGTCGCTCAATTTCGTGGATTAGTTGAAGTTAGACATTAACAACATTGGATGCCGGCCGGCTCAGTGATCTAGAGGTTAAGCACTCACGAAGCGGGATCGTGGATGCACACTGCCGAGGAGTCTCATATTAGGACAAAACGGTCATCCAGTGCTTCCAGGTTTTCCGTGGTGGTCTAGCTTCAAATGACTCATCATCTCAACTCTTGAAATTACATATTATCAGCATACTTTAACATAATTTCTATGGTCAACATTGTTTATTTTAAAATAATGAGTAATCGTTTCCAAACTATGTAGATCTTCACACAAATACAATCAAGTAACCATGTTGTGTTTATTGAGAAAACCTCTTTGAAATGAATTTCTTAAAGTTCTAAGATGGTTAGATTTATGCTTTAGAAGGAATTTATTGTGGTACGATAGATCGGAACTACTTACTTCTGTATACATAACTCATTCTCATCCCATCACATTGAATATTTCAATTTATTTACCAATTAGTGTCATATAGATTTATAGATGTAAAATGTGTATTCACGATATATCACTGTTTGACACTTGAATGTATATTCGTTCTCTTTATTGGTCAATATTACCAATTCAAATCTATTCATTAGATACTAATTGTATATGCCATTGAACAAACTGATAGATACATGTTAATTTTTATCGGCGTCTGTTCATTTGTACTGTAGTAAATAGGGATACAACTGGGGACAATCGGATGTATTGGAACACAACATAACAGAACAACTTAGTAAAATCTCAGAACCATACAATAAACACTTCATTTGCAAAATGTCGATCAATCATCTCATACTTCACTGTCCCTTCATTTCCACAGGAATCATTCTCCTATCTTGTTCACTTTTCTTCAATCTTCTTAACTTTCTGTTGCCAAGTATTTCACTTTCGATTGATGATACATACTACTCATATCTGTTGACATCAGTAGCACACACCACAGTACTTCTTGGATTATCAGAAATTATGTAGCTCTAAGATCCTCATAATTTACATTATGAATTTTTGAAAGTTTGTGTATTTCATTTGCTTTGTATTTCGAGATCACTTTAATCTATTTCGTCCAAAAATTGAGCAAAATCTGATTATAATCCCGTTTAAAGATTTATGATATTACAAGTCTACTGAAATTGAATGAATCAAAGCAGATTGAAATCTATGATTTAGTAGATAAAATTTAAATGGTTCAACTATTATTTCACTGTTCCACGTCAATTATGAACTGTACATGATATGTTTAACTAGTTTATTGTTGACTGTGTTGGAGAGATCCATAAAATCCTTCGGAGAAAGCCAAAACAGGCTCTGAAAACGTTGAGAAAACCTCTTATCTAATCAACATTTAATAAAAGTTTTCCCAGGATTATTTGAAAAGTGAAAAGTCACATGCCGCGTTTCTAATCGGATCATTACCTATAATGTTACTAGGTTTAGTAGGGTTCCAGTATTATCTTGAACCCAAGGCCATCTAGAATGCCATACATTTAGCTCCAACTTAAATGTATGCATTGCTCTTGTAGGTTTTTGCGTTAAGATATTCAATGATTATCTAATCATAAAGAGATAATAGAAATGTAAATCATTGAATATCACTTATGTGGTATAAAGTTGAAGAACTTGGCACGATGCCTGAAAACCATGAGTCTGATAAGTGATATGATTATGAATGCGTAATGCAGAAAAGTCTCACATTTTGGTGAAAAAGCTGTACGGTAAATATAGGCTTCAATCTACTGTGCGAGAGAACAAACCAGATTCCAGAGGAGGAAGAAATCAGGAAAGACAACTGGAAGTGGAGAGGACAGACATTGAGGAACGCACCCAACTGCGTCACAACACAAGTCCTCACATGGAATACTCTAGACCAAAGGAGAAGAGGAAGAACAAACAACAGATTACACCGAGAAACGGAAACATATATGGGAAGAATGAACAAGAATTGGATATAACTAGAACGGAAGGCCCAGTACAGAGTGGGTTGGAGAATGCTGGTTGATGGCATATGCTCCATTGGGAGTAACAGGCGTGCGTAAGTAAGTAAGTAAAAATAGGCTTTCAATACTGATTTAGCTGATGTCAGTCAGTCATGTAAACGATAGACAATTTTTTCGCTTTTTAAATAATAACTACGTTTTTTCGTTAAATTTTAGTATTCTATGGACGTGATTTAGAAGATGATGTGAACGATGATACTGAACATCCTTTTAAATCAATATATATAGCTTTACTAAAAGCGAATAGAGATGAATTCACATTTATAGATGGAAATCTTGTACGAAGAGATGTGGAAGAACTACTTAGAGCAATGAAACAAGACATTAGGATTGATGAATCAAAGTAAGTGTACTGTTTTTACTATGCCGGAATAAATATTAGACAAAAGTGAACTTTCGGAACTATCCAACTGAAGTTATTATTGATGTTTTCGCTGTACTCTTATTAAATACTTAAACTGTTACATTCTTACACCCATCCACTTTTGTTTGACGCAGTAAACATTGTTTTGTCTTTTACATTTCCCAAAGTTATTGTTAATTCATTACGAACCTATTACTCAGTTCCTTCCCATTTATGGTGCGGTTGTGCTCATATTGTAAATTCTTAATTCTGTTGATGTGTTGTCACGATTTTGCTCTATATTACTGTATGAGTGATCGAAAACATTCCAACTGTTTAGTTGGAGGTCATCTGTCTGCTGAGTTGTTTTTTCTTTGTGACTATCTGGGGAGTAAACTTGGGAAACTGCATTCCGGACAAATAGTCATTCAGTTGTTATCTCACATTTAGCGTATCATCCGTTAAACTGATGTAATTGGTACTAGACGGCAATCTAAATGAACTAATCAATACATGGACCAGATCAATGCAACTACTTTCTTGTCTTACAGTTCGGTCATTCAAGCTATAAATAACTGAACAAAGATATCTGTTTATTCTCCCCCAATACATTAGTTTTTCTTTGCAGATATACTAGTATGATTTATTGATCCTACATAGCTCTTACTTAGTTTGTGAATTTCGCATTGAAAGAGAATTCCATTTTATAAACAGAACTGTTGTGACTCATATATCCTATGTATCTATCAGTCCCGAAATCTAACTAGAACTCTAGATACATCATTGATTAAATTAATGAATGTGATCCTCTAATCAATTTGAAGCAACATACAACACGTTGTTCTTTTTAATGAACTGGTGTAATAACTTTTTTACTATCTTCACTTATTAGATTCATGCCTATCTTGATTACACGATCCTATGGTCATTTACGAGCTGTATTCAATGAATATTCGTTACATAGTGAACATGATTTGGAAGAGGAAATGCGTGGACATGCAGTCGATTGTATACTGTCTATTGGTAAGTAGTCATCACTATTATGTATTCCAAGGAATTGTGAGTTGAATAATTAGTATGCTCTTTCGCCTGTGTATTTTGAAGCCTACTGCTGCAGAAGCTTCTGTCACACTAGTTGTTCTCATCTGCATTTGTTTGTGTGTTTGGGATAGAAGTGTCAGTTCATCTGCAAAGTCCAGATCTTCTAATTGATCCTGTCCATTGAGCTGTCCATTGTATTCCGTGTTTCCCCTCAGATGTTAAGATCTTCATATGAAGAGAAATTCTACTTGAAATTGAACATCTTTAAACTCTACAATTACTAGTTAACAGGTATTAAGGTATGACGTATTTGTCTAGTGTTTAGTATTGATCAATTTCTACTAATCAATAAGGTTTATTCTGATCATTAGTCTAAATGAAATAACATTGTAGATATCATGTTTTCGACGTAAGATAGTTCTGGCTAAGCAGGGACAATTAGATGTATTTGAACACAAAATTACAGGACAACTTAGTAAAATCTAAAATCCATACAATAAACACTTTATTTGCAAAATGTCAATCAATAATCTCAGACTTCACCGTGCCTTCATTTCCACAGCGATCATTCACTGTTCTCGTTCAATTTTCTTAACTTTCTGCTGCCAGGTATTTCACTTTCGATTGATGATGCATACTACTCATATTTGTTGACATCTGTAACACACACCACAATAGCATTAGGCTAATGTATTTTTAATCATTTATCACTGACTCCATTACATGCTGAAAACTACCAACAAATTGGATTGTTTGGTCTCATACTAAGTATAATTAAGTGAGCAAGTAATTGTTCTGTATAATGAACTCTTTTTTGCATTTCTTACATTTACTTATGTATATTTCATTAATTAAAATTCATTTCAGTCCGTTGCATACAAAATAGACCAAGATATTTTGCTGAAAAATTAGTCAAAGCTACGGAAAATGCAGAAAGAGATCATGGAACAATTATTCGAATTATTGTCTCTCGTTGTGAAGTGGATTTGGGACGAATTATGGAAGAATTTCTTGATTTAAAGGGCGAACCAACATATAAGCTTACAGGAGTACGTATAAACAATATTTAAGAAGTAATAATTTGCAATTATTATGATCCATTTACTGAAACTTAAACATGGATACAATTGCTAATATAAACCGATTAGCAGTGTAAATACCATTATCTTTTCGTGTTTATCTATATCCCCAACGTAATCGGTATGAACAATAATGCTGAATATTACTGCGTATTATTGCTTTAATCAAATGCTTCTCGAAAAACGTCTACGTTCATGTCTAAAGATGCATGCATCACATTTGCAGTCTCACAGTCTATTCATTCAATACACTTGAAAATGCTTTCGAAAACAATGACAATTCTCACTTAGTCGAGTTTTACTTAAAACAAGTTGTGTTAAGAGTCGATTGTTGCACATCAGAACTATCTGAAACTATTTCTATGTGAAAAGTGTTTGTCAATTCATAGTTTAAGCTATCATAAGATTATTTCTTTTCCCAGTTAGGTGACCTACGTATTGTATGACGGTTAGAATTGATTCCCATTGAGAAGGAAGATGTTATTTCAAACAATTGTGGACACATTATACTGAGACTGATACTTAAATTAACACTTTCTGATCCTACACACTACTTTGACCTTTTTTCATGTGATGTGTTGTAGACCAATCGCTTGTTCAATCATTCAAATGAAGTTATTTTATCCACATCGATTGTCGGAACAGAATGCTTTCACATTTTTCACGTCATATTACAAACTATATTCCTACGTAGATTTTCACTCGAATCAGTAGAAATTAATAAAACCTCATAAAGTTCGTAAACGGTATGGAAACACATCATGTACATAAGATTCATGATATTGTCACGTTGTAGCTGAATAATGCAAGGTGTTTGTCAGCTGACAATTGACACAGAAATTTCATGGTTGTATTGTATGTTGCTGAAACTTGATTATAACAACAAATTGAAGAGTTTCGACATGTTTCGAAATACAGTTCTAAGAAGACTAGACCATCCTGCATCCATGTATAGATGTGTGCGTGTTTGTCTGATTTGATAATCACATCAGATCACTTTGCTATAATTAAGTTGTGAAAGATATGAATCAATTGAACAAAAACGTTCAGATATAATATTCCACTATTGTTTCCACTAGATTATCTTTCATTTTGGTAAATCCCAGTGTTTCATTTGTCGCACTGTAGTTCGACTTATGTGAATGTATGTCGTATTCTACATTGATAATAATTGATGACATAATTTGTAGCAAATTCTACCATGCAATACTTGTGCATTGAAATTATTTATCAAGTGATCAAACGTGATAATGGGAAATAATTTTACAAATTTTATTTCTCAAATGTATTTTATTTTAGTTCGAATATTTTCATGTATACGACCCAGCACTTCCCGTAAAATCAACTATTAATCAAACTTTATTGAATGGAGTACCAAATGATTGCCAACGTCTGTTATTGAAGCTTATCATGAGATAATCTACTTACCAATTACATTATTAATCATATATTTACACTGATTAAAGTCGTTAAACAATTACGAAGTTATTCTGTATACCTCAACGATTTCCGGCTTTACAAAATATGTTTGTTGACATGTTTCGATTCACAATGAACAAAAGCCATTTCCTCCTTTAACAAGAATTGTATTAACAAATGAAAATATTATTATTCACACATATTTTATCTCTCTATCTCCTCTCCCCCTCTCTTACTCTCTCTCCCTCTGTCTTTACCCTGTACTCCATTTGATTAATCTCCTAAGAAAATGTGGAAACAAGATACGTTTGCTTAACTATTTTGCTTAAATGAATACAATTATTTTGTTATAAGATTGATTTGTTCAAGTTTTCATTGAGAGGAGTGAGTGGTGTGAAACAAGTTGAAAGATATTAGTTTATTCAACTGAATGATCATTAGGTTGTTTATCGTGGGTCCCCTGACAAATCAAATCGGAATAGAACAAAGGAGAGATATGTTATGCCATGCTGATTTGGACGCTTTATTCGTTCCTAAGCTATTCTGATAACCCGCAAGCTAGAACTACACAGCGACCTGAACACCTTAGAGAACACGCAAATTATGAGAGAAATACTTTACTCCAAGGTTCACTTTTGTACAGAAAAACACGGGTATTTATAGATGTTAACATTTGTTAAATCAACACCATATTTCGGCCAATCCGTTAACGACATATTATGCTACTGATTAATAGTAACACGTCACGTTGGAAATCTAGAATGCCCCATTATGCTGTGATTGGCTAGGACTCTTCGGCTCCTTTTGGGCCTCTGGAGGCTCCGTTGAAGTTCTCCGAAAGCCGACTCAACAATTCCCCCGAATAAGATTTTTCCTAGGATCTACTTGTAGCTTGACAACTGGGTTGCGGTGGTGTGTCATTATTCTTGTCGTGTCCCTTGTCCAAGGCTTCTTTTCGGTGTGCTTGGGTATGTGTAGCATTGGTGTATCTAAGATTAACTCTAACGGAAAATTCCGCCGGTTATTTCGCGAAAGCATCATTCTTTTGTCCTTATGGATTTGATTTATGTGTCGTGTACATGTTGCAAAAAATCCTCGAACTCTGTACAGTACTTTTCCCAATTTTTGTACATCTTCTCCTGGCTCCCATCGGTTCTTCCCGATGTAGGATTTAATGAAAACTTTGTCGCTAACATTGAAGTTCCGGATATTTGGATTGTGATTGCACTCATTCACTAATTTGGATGACAACATGGCGTTGAAGACAGTTTGAATACGCGTTCAGAACATGGCTTCAGCAAGAGACTTCCCATCTGGAACATTCGGGTTCGGGTGGATCTGTGGGATGTTAAAAATTTTGTGATTATCTGTCCAGTCTTCCCTTTGCCTCTCCCTTTCAGTAATGCTCGTTTAAAGGTGTCCACAAAGCATTCTGCTTGTCCGTTTGATTGCCGATGATAGGGTGGAGAACGAAGATGAGTTATTCCGTTTGCTCTACAGAAATGCTTAAACGATTTTGCGGCGAATGCGAGCCGTTATCCTTTACTAAGATCTCTGGAACACCGAAGCAGCTAAA